CGTATTACATTAGTAGAAGGACCTCCATTTCATCATTGAATAGATGTAGTACCCAATTATCGCCTAAAGAAAATATTGAGGATTTGAATTGTCTCCAAGAATTATTTGGAGGATCAAATTATAAATAGAGAATTGTTTGAGGACCAAAACCTCGCTATTTAATAGTTTTAGGAGAAATTGCAACTTGAACACAGTTGGAGGACGAATTTATTCTCCTTGAATAATTATAGGATCAAGTTGCTTCCGTACAGACGGAGGGCAAATTTGTTACTTTCGTATAGTTGGAGGATCAACTTGTCGATTATGTAAGAATAACGTAATACGATCCTTTAGCTATTGAAATCATCCATAACGCTCCTCCAACTACTAGGCACATCTAATTTAATCCTTCATCTATCGGAATCACCGATTTGGATCCCTTGGTATTAAAATAATCAAATTGATCCTTCAATAATTAGAATATCTAATTTGATCCTTCATCTATTACAATGATCTAATTTCATCCTCAAACTACTAGCATTATAAAGTTGGTCCTTAAACTATTGTAGTCATCTAATTTCATCCTTCATCTATATGTATCATCTATATTGATCATTGACTATTATAATCATCTTATTTGATCCTTCAACTAATGGAATCATCCAAATCGATACTACAAAAATGGGCATCATCAAATTTCATCCCGCAACTATGCGAATCAATATTTTGATCCTTCAACCATTGGAATAATCATATTTGATCCTACCACTATTAGAATCATCTAAAATGATCCTTCAACTGTTAGAAACATCTAATTTCATTCTTTAACTATTGAATCATCAAATTTGACCCCTCAATTATTGGAATAATTTATTTTGCTCCTTAATCTATTTAAATCATCTAATTTAGACTTCAATTATTAGTATCATCTAAATTGACCCTTCAACTATTAAAATCATCACGTTCAATCCTTCAACTATTTCAAACATCTAATTTCATCCTCTAACTATTTACATCATCTAATATGATCCCTTACCTATTGGTATCATCTATTTCGACCCTTCTTCTATTGTTATCATCTAATTTCACACTTCAACTATTAAAATCATCTAAATTGATCCGTTCTCTACTTGATTTTCTAATTCCGTCCTTCAACTATTAAAAATTCAATTTCATCCCCCATGTATCTAAATCATCGAATTTGATACTTCAACTATTTCAAACATCTAATTTCATTCTCTAACTATTTAGATAATCTAATATGATCCCTTAACTATTATTATCATCTATTTCGACCCTTCATCTATTACAATAATCTAATTTCACACTTCAACTATTAAAATCATGTAAATTGATCCTTTATATACTAGAATCTTCTAATTCTGTCCTTCAACTGTTTGATCCTTTTATTATTGGAATCGTCTGAAATCATCCTTCAACTATAAAGAATTTAATTTTGTCCTCCATATATCTAAATCATCTAATTTGATCCTTCAACTATTGGAACCATCTATTCGAGTCTTCTATTATCATCCCTTATTTGATCCTTCAACTATTAGAAACATCTAATTTCATCCTCAATCTATAAAAATAATCTACTTTGATTCTTCATCTATTGTAATAATCTATTTTAATCCCTTCACTATGAAAACCATCTAAATTGATCCCCCTTTTATTGGAATCGTCTATTTTGATTCTTCAACCATTACAATCATCTAAAGTTCATCCTTTTACTATTAGAATAATCTAAATTGATCCTTCAACTATTACAATCATCTTATTTGATCCTTTATCTATTCGAAACATGTAATTTGATCCTTCACAAACCAAAACAATTCTGAAACTTCCGATTTCCCTCTCATTTCCCGATCTCGTCTGCCCTAATTCCCAAAATCCTCTATCTCTGTAATACTTCTATTCAATTTCTCATCTTCAGTGGCTGTTCAACCCCAAATCCGTCACAAGAAACCCCTAAACAAAAGGCCCACAAAAAAAAAAAAATTCTATTGCCGATTTCGAAATCGGCAAACCCCTTGGCAAAGGCAAGTTCGGCCGTGTCTACCTCGCCCGCGAAATCGACGTATAAAACAATGCACTGGAAATTGTGTTCCTTGAGTGAATTTTTTTTTTTTTTTTTTTGGAGTAATTATATAGTAGCGCTGAAGCTCACATAATAACGCCGAGGAAATTGAACTTCTGGGAATTTACATATATTGTTTATGATTTTTTGGTTTTCAATTGTGTTAAAAGTATATAGTGGCGCTGAAGGTGATTTTTTAGGGATAAAATAGAGAAGTACAGTTTTCACCACCAGTTGAGAAGGGAAATGGAGATCCAGACCAGTCATCACCCGAATGTCTTGAGACTGTATGGATGGTTCCACGATATTGAGCGGATTTTCTTCTTCTTGAAATATGATCATGAGGTGAACACTACAAAGAGCTACGGAAATGTGGCCTCCTCTCCCAAAGACAAGCCGCCACCGTAATCACTATCCATCCTTCTGCGCGTGTTTATCTGCTAACATGTGTTTTTTATGTGTATTCATAATTGTGCGTCTGTGTATGAGTTTCTTGCTGCGATTGAAATGTGAACTTAATTGTGGTTTAATATTGAATTTCCTCTGCACCAAAGGGAATACAAATGATTTGGAAAACAGGAAATTCAATATTAAAAGCAATTAAGTTCACATTTCAAGGATTAGAAGCATAATGAGGTGAAACAGTTTAATCGGATGAGGAGGCACGGATTACAGAATCTCGACCCAGTTGATGGACGGGTCTAAACTTTGGTTTTGAGTTCCGGTCCATTCGCAATCAGATGACAGAAATCAGGAAAAGATTGCCAAGCAGTATGAGCAGCTCCACTAAGGTCGGGATCCTCGCTTCACAGCAGGAGCTCAGCACTTCACTATGGAGCATAGCAGAGGCATAGATGGCTAAGGCATTAATTCCGTGATGGAGCACGAGGTGATGATGATCCAGTTTGCTAAATTATTTCCATCACAGAACTTCCGTCCATCACCATCCGATCTCCGAGTTCGAGTTCAGCTTGGATTGCATCACTCATCCTATGATTAGTAAATTTCTTTTCTTTCATTTCTTTTTCACATTAAGAACAACTTGTCGTTCTAGTATGGGGATGTAATCTATCTTGCTTTTGTGTGTGACAGTATGTGCTTATCAAGTTTGTTAGGTTTTATGTTGTTTGGAGTCCTTTTTTCTTATTCCAGTTATACAAGGAAAAAAGAGAAAACTGGTGGTTCACATGGAGACCTTGGCACCCTGTTTCTGTAGTTGAAAAAGAACTTATTTTGGGAGAGATGAAATCACTACATCTTTTTGAGCTGCAATACTTTTGCATCAGAATTTAGGGTTTGCACCTTTGCCTTTGCACTTTGGGATACTTAATTTTAGCCTGTCGTGATACTTTTTTCATATACATTTTTAGTTTACAGTGATTAGTTCTGCATTGACTATACCAAGTTCTTGAATTACATAGACACCATGCATAATTTGTCTCGAGGTTTGATTAACCACTGCTTGATGCAGCTCTTTTATCCATAGACTGACACGGCGCCTTACTGAAATGAGTTAGTGATGGGCAATGGGTTCTGTCTGGCCTAGTTTTCCTACTCCTGAACATATTGCAGAAGAGATTTACTAACGGTTAGATGACGTTGAAGAAAGGTCGAAGTAGGTAGGGCATGTCCCGACTCTTCACAAGCACCTATGGTTGATGATCTTGATGACTAAAAGGGCCTTTCACAAAGGCTTCACAGCAAAAGGGTTGCTATTGGTTTTGGGCTCTTGAACTCGAAACCAGGAATTCCTATTCGTATATTTAAAAATCTACAGGTATGCTACGACTGCCACAATGTTACGGAATTGATCTCTAGTGTTTTCAGTGTGGAGATTATTGTGAGAGATTGTATTCGATTCCATCGCTTCAAAAATGGTTTGTGGTCTTGCAAGGACTACAGGTAAAAAACTTCGAATTGAAAATGACCGAATGCTTGTGACTTGTGAGATGATACATCCGTCTTGCTACAAGACGATATGTTGGGGCAAACAAGTCCCACATCGATTGTGGTAAGAAAATAAATCCACCATATAATTCAAGTGGGCTACTCCACCCATTACCAATTGGTTTTGGGATGGAACCTCATTTGGGCCTGGTGGAGTGGGCTTGAGCCTTGAGTAATTGCTCTCAATAATTTCCTAATAGTGGTATCAGAGCCCAGGTTGTGTGGCTAGATAAATCGAGATGTTGGAAAATTCTCATGAGATGGTGGATCCATGGTAACGTAGTGGGTGCAGGCTACGATGGATTATCTTGATGAGTGGTAATTTACCTCGTGAGCCTTGTTTGAAGGAGGGATTGTTGGGGCAAACAAGTCCCACATCGGTTGTGGGAAGAAAATAAATCCACCATATAACTCAAGTGGGCTACTCCACCCATTACCAATTGGTTTTGGGATGGAACCTCACTTGGGCCTGGTGGAATGGGCTTGGGCCCTGAGTAATTGCTCTCAATAATTCCCTACAACACGATACTTTCTAACTTAGTTGCTCTTCATAAACGGAGTGCTCATGAAAGAAATGGAAGAAACGAATCTGGGATTGTCCTTTTTTCTTTAAATTATTTTTTGTCTGTGGGTTATGTAATACAAAATCTTCATCTCAAGACAGTTGGATCAAAGAATTTCACCAACATAAATAATAAATTCTAATATTTCAAAAACTTAAGAATCAATGTGAATTCATGTACAATATCAAAAAAATTCAGCACTTAAATTAATACACACACTATATGACTGGCAGGTAGAAATCTCAGCCTGTATCTTTCACCATTATGGATGTATTTACAAAATCTTCATGAATTTAGAGTTTTTAGCGAGCTTGTTCGTATTTATTGATTGCATACTGTTTCACTGCTCGCCTCGCCCTTTCTGCTGGTCTCGGGATATAGCTGAAGCAGGATGTTCAAAACACGTATCGATGATAACTTCTGGTTTCTTTCTAAAATGGCATAACGGTTTTCGCCAAATCTTGACCGACTGATACATCAAAACAAGAAAAGTAGGTAAGTGCGAAAATTTGATGAATAAAATTAACGTATAAACTCAAATCCTCGAGGTTGAGACGACAACTAGTAGCATGTACGACGTAATTTAGAGTAAAAGATTACCTTGGGACGAGGTCGGAACCACAATGACATGCATGGTTGCATTATTGGGAGGAAGCTGCAAACGAAGAGGATAAAGCTTCCCATTCAAAGCGCTACGAGTGCACACAATAACACCATCGATTCCTAATTCCTCCTCAAGCCTCTTTGCCAATTCATGAACATCATTTCCTTTGAATGTAGTGCAAAGTTCCTCAAATCCCTCATCAATTTGCCCTTGTTCATCAGCTATATGGAAGTAAATCAACCTTCCGTCACCCCCTTTTGGTGGCGAACTAACCAAAGAATCATTCGACTGCAAAAAAATCCCGTAGTGTTATACACTCAGCATCCATAAATATGTGTAATCTCTTCATCTAGAAGTTTAAGTCATTAGAAAAAGATAACACAAGTCTATATTCATATAATCAACATGCCCGTTATAAAAATTTCATCAATAGGTTTTGTAAGTACCTCTTGTCGAGAAAAGCTAGCAAATTCTGAGGAATGAGTAGAAGGCGGCCTTGGATTGGAAGCAAAAGAATCAGAGTGGACCACCAAAGGCGGAGGCGGTTTAGCTACCGGAGAGTACGCCACCAATATCTCCACCACATGAACATCCCATAAAATCCATTCCTGAGTGGTGGTCCGCTGAGGAACATCATGCGTAACCGAGTTCCTCCACGGTGGCAGCCCCCCGTTTGCACGTAAAAACTGCCCGTACCTGGTTTTCAGCTTAAGAAATTTCCCTTCTCTTACGGGCTCCCACTCCAGCGACGAGTCGAGCCGCGGCGGCAGAGTCTGCGCCACCTTCCGCCCCGTCATTCCCAGCAGAAACGGCTGGTTTGTGGCTGTTAAATATTTGCCGTAGCAACTTTTCAGGCGGATTATTCCGTCCAAATTCTCAACAAATTCTACCGTCCATTTTGCAGCGGTGGATGAGCCGTTCCGATCCTGGGTAACTGATTCTTCATCTTCCACCGCCGTTAAGTACTTATCGTGGGCACTCCTCAGCCTCACTGCCTTGGCCTTCTGGAACAAATCCATAGCTATTTTTCTTCTGAATTTCAGACCCAAATTTTACACAGCAAATTGTTCTGATTATGTTAAATTAGGATGGAACAGCTATATATATAAATCTTGAAAGGTAAAGGAAAAGGAAATCGCGTAATGAATGACAGTCAGAGCCAGCCAGCTAGCCATTAGATACTGAAGTATACGTATAGAAGACTCCTTCATTGGTTCTCCAAACGCGGTATTTTGTTGACAATGTCACGTGGGTCCACACTACATTCTCTGACAATTCAATCTTGGAGGCTAATCAGGAGGTCAAATGTGGTTCAGGCTAGTTTCTATTTGATTTTTCTCATAAATCAGGTTTGCTTAGCTTAACCAGTTGGACTCATTTTGATATCAATATTACTCAAATTGGAATGGTTTTGGTCTGGATCGAGTCCTGTTAACTTAGACCATCCGAGTCATTTATGACACTACTAAGTTATTTGTATATTAATTTTAAATTTAGGGAGCGTCTGATGCACATTATTGAGAAGAAAATACATTTTATGATGTGATGTGATGAAAAATATGTGATTAAAAATAAGAAAAAATTTTGAATTTGTCTGTAATATAATTTTATTTAAGAATACGTGGTTAAAAATGAGTATTGAAAGAACGAATTTCGAAAAGAATGTTGATCGAATTTCGAACATGAGCTTAAACTAGTGGATATTTTTAAAATAAAGGGGCTGCTGAATTTTCTTGAAACTTAGTAACTCAATTTAGAATTTGTGTCCTCCCATTGGATAAGGAAAATGCCGGCGTCAGGTGTCAATTATGGACACCTCTACGAGTATCCAAAGCAAAACCCAGGATAACACCAAAGATGCTTTTTAGCTTCAGCCAGGAAATGTATGAAAGAGAGAGGTGGGAGAGACTTCTCTGACCTAACTTGGATATTATCTTCAATTTCTTACAAGATAAGAAATAAGCTAAAAAGCCAATGGACCCATAACTTAGAATTTTTAAAGCTATTTTGTTGCAGATTTTTGGATTATTTGACCAGTTGCGTTCAATGAAAGTTATTTTGGAATATACTGAAATTGCGATATGATCCAACTTATTTAGTTATTATTTATTTTGGTCCCACAAATGGAAATTACCATAGTAGTGAGGAAAAACATAAAATTAATAATTGATTCATAATTTAAATTAACCTTCTAATGTCAATTTAATTTTTTCTTCCTCTTTTATTTTTTATTTTCAGCATTTTGCTCGCTTTATTTCACTATTGAAATGATTTTCGATGAGAGTGAAGGTAAAAAATAAAAATTGAATGTCGGAATTTATGAAATCGTGTGCATATTATAAGACATAAGGATAATATTTCTCATCAACTCCTATTTATTGGTTTAAAAATGATATTTTTTATTGGCTTGTGATCGACTATCTTATAAGTAAATGAGCTATTCTACCATTTAACACTATATGGATAGAATCATAATTTTAAACTCTCGATTTGGATCTTATGATCCTACGATTCCAAAATGACGAAAAGATCCAATCATATTGTAGGATGTTAAAATTGTAGAATCTTACGTTCTCCTTTTTGGATTCTTCTTATCCTAATGAGTAATGATCCTCTATATTTTATCAATACGGACTTTTCAAATTTATTTGTAATAAATTAAGTAATTTTGGTTATTGAACACGTGGACTGAGTTTAATTTTGAATTAAAACTTTAAAAAAATAATAATAATAAGAAGCCAAAACTTTTGTATCCCTAAACGGGAAATGTTATCATTCATTCTCTGCCTCGTGGAAATCGAAACGGTGACAATCCTTCATAAGTTTGTCCATAAATAATTGGAGTGAAACTTTGATCTTAAAAATAAACCGAAATAGAAGTATTTTCCACTTTAATTTCCTGTTTTGGTTCAACATTTAGAAGAAAGTTTTCATGTCAACTATTTTATTTGGATTTCTTTGCCTCTTCAACCTTATTTTTATAATTCGATTTTTAGTCAGTTATAGTTATTAATTTGTTATTAAGAATGTCCAACATTTTTTATGTTTTGTTACATTAAATAATTAATATATGATAGACTCTTAGTATTCAGTCGGTTCGATTTAACAATTTGATCTGTAACACTCATTCACTGATCCGATCCAAGATTACAATTCTGACTACCAGGGGCGGACCCAAATGTGGTCATGTGGGGTCAAGTGACCCCTCAAGAATTCCATAGTTGTCCTTTATCCTTGACTGGTCACGTTTATAAACTAAAGTTTACTCTATTCTTCGATAAACAAAAATAACCCTCCTCCAATCTCCAAATTTAATCTATATTCTTCAATCCAAATAAACACTTCTCCAATATCCAATCTCTCTTATCTATTCTTCATTCAGGTATGGATTTTTTATGTTTGAAATTAATGTTTTTAATGTCTATGTATGATTTTCTCTCATTTTCCTTTACTTTTCCTTTCCTTTTCCTTTCCTTTTTCACTCAAATATGTTCCTTATCATTGGGGTTTGTGTTGTAATTGTAGAGTTATAATTGGATTTGGGGTTTTGTGTTGCCTAGTGTTGAGTGAGAGTAGGTGAATTATATTGAAAACAATGTATTTGACAATATTGATAACAACGTAATTATATGGCGTCTTCAAAGTATAAAAATCCGTAGGCTACAATTGCAGTCGTTTTGAAAGGGAATGGCACAATGATGCAATAACCCAGTGGGTTGAAATTGTTGGCCCAACTAATTGAATAAATTGGTTTATTACTTGGTGAAAAAATCGTGTGCTGATTGAATGAAGAAGTCGAGTTTCTACTTACCCTGTTGTTGGACGGTCAGGATGTCGCCAAGAGCAATCACCACAGCCGTTGGATGAAGGGCACTTCTGGCGACTCCTATAAAAGGCTCGTCTAGGGTTTGCACAGTAGAAATATTATGGGAAGTCTACATAAATCCTGATTTTACTTATACACATTTCAAAATTAAGGTCAGATGTTTTAAATTTCAAAAATCGGGTTTTTATTTAAATTTATTTATTAATTACTTAATTAATTATATGTTTTATTAATAAATATATAACGGTCACAAATTTATACAATTTGGTCACAATTCAAAATTTTAAGGTCACAATTCAAAAATTTGATAGGTCACAATTCATTCATCGGTCACAAATTAAAAATTTAAAAGTCACAATTGTTTCATCGGTCACAAATCGTAAAATTTTTAAGTCACACATCTTATTTTATAGTCACAAACAACGAATTATAGGTCACAAATAACTTTTATTGGTCACAAATTAATAAATTTGTGGGTCACAAAGTATTTATCGGTCACAATTCATTCTT